TTTGGCTAATTTTTACTCTAAAAATCTTCTTTTCCTCATTGAATATTGTTGTATTTTAGACACCTAGTGCATTTAAATCGAGGTTTTATTTAATTAATGCCCGAAAAAGTGGCAATTTTATGGACTTGAAATTTGTGCAAAAAGTAAGGCTATAGCCTTGCCAAAATGCCCCAAATTTTGGCTAATTTTTACTCTAAAAACCTTCTTTTCCTCATTGAATATTGTTGTATTATAGACACCTAGTGCATTTAAAAAGTGACTTTATTTAATTAATGCCCGAAAAAGTTGAATTTTGATAGGCTTGAAATTTGTGAAAAAGTAAGGCTATAGCCTTGCCAAAATACCCCATTTTTTGCCTAATTTTTACTCTAAAAACCTTCTTTTCCTCATTGAATATTGTTGTATTATAGGCACATAGTGTATTTAAAAAGTGATTTTATTTAATTAATGCCCGAAAAAGTTGAATTTTGATAGGCTTGAAATTTGTGCAAAAAGTAAGGCTATAGCCTCGCCAAAATACCCCATTTTTTGCCTAATTTTTCCCTCTAAAAACCTTGTTTTCCTCATTGAATATTGTTGTATTATAGACACCTAGTGTATTTAAAAAGTGATTTTATTTAATTAATGCCCAAAAAAGTTGAATTTTGATAGGCTTGAAATTTGTGAAAAGGTAAGGCTATAGCCTTGCCAAAATACCCCATTTTTGCCTAATTTTTCCCTCTAAAAACCTTGTTTTCCTCATTGAATATTGCTCTATTATAGACACCTAGTGCATTTAAATAGTGATTTTATTTAATTAATGCCCGAAAAAGTTGAATTTTGATAGGCTTGAAATTTGTGAAAAAAGTAAGGCTATAGCCTTGCCAAAATGCCCCAAATTTTCCTATTTTTTTCCATTAAAAACCTTGTTTTCCTCATTGAATATTGCTCTATTATAGACACCTAGCGCATTTAAATAGTGATTTTATTTAATTAATGCTCGAAAAAGTTGAATTTTGATAGGCTTGAAATTTGTGAAAAGTGTAAGCCTATTGCCTTTCCAAAACAACCGAATTTTTGGCCAATTTTGTTCTGAAAAAATTTGCCTTAATCAACAAATTTGGCTCAGACATAAACGCATATTGTAAATAAATAGTGGTTTTAATCTTTAAATTCACAAAAAAAGAATTTTGAAAAGGCTTTTAGTTGGTGAAAAAGTAAGGTCTTGCCAAGACATCCCAGTTTTTGCCAAATGTTTTTCCCAATAATATTTTTTCCAACAAAGTGGCTTTCTTTTCCACTTTGGTTTCAAAATAAACGTTTTATGTTTTTAACAATTTGTTTGAATCTATTAATTAATAAAACTTAATTAATAAAAATTTGACAGGGTTCAAATTTTGAAAGTAGCATGCCCATAGGATTGCCAAAGGATCACATTTTGAGCAAAAAATTTCCCTCAAAAAAATCGAGTTTGATTTAGAAATAGATGTTCAATGTCAATATGGTTTTGAAATTATTTATACTTGAAAAGGTCAATTTTTGACAGGATTGAATATTGTTGAAAAGGTAAGCCTAGAGCCTTGCCAAAATGATTACATTATGATAAAAAACGCTTCTTTGCAAGACAATGTTTTTGTAAGTCATCATCAAAATCTATTGTTTAATTATATCTAATAATTTTAAGGTCCTTTAATTTTGAATTATCATATATCAACAAGTTTTCCGGTTGAGAAAAAAGGTTTGTCATTGAGCCTCAAAAATTACTATTTTACAATTTTCATATTTTCTAAGTTTTTTTAGAAAATAATGTTAAACCAAGTGCAGGTTTGTTTTATTGGTTTAATTGGTGATAAGGTGACAGTTTCTCAATTAGTGAAAAAGGAAGCTTGCAGGCTTGCCTAAATATTTCTATTTTAATGAAGATATATTTTAGTACACTGTCAAGGGTGGGCTGACCAGTCAGGCTACAAGGTTGCAACCCGATGAGCCCCATCAATATGTGTCCCCTATTTGGTGCACATCAATTCCTTGTGTGTTAAGCCCAGAATCCTAAATCATCCAGGCCCTTGTTGAGGTACAAATCCGTCCCCAGACACTGCCTTCCTATGTTAAAATGAATTTTGATTTATAAATTTTTAACCCAACTGTTTTTCTATATCGAAGTCAATTCTTTATAAAGATAATAAAGTAGAGCCAAACCAGTCTCTTTTTTGATAAGAAAAGCAGAAAGGCTTGTCCATAGGACTTGATTTTAATAAAAATATATTTAATCGAAATCACTGATTTTCTAGTGTAAATTAAATCACGTATAGATAGAGATTGCAACAATCTAACATATTAAAAAATATATGATTACAGAAATTCAGTATAAGAGGCTTAGCTAATCCAGGGACTGCGGAAGGGGGGGGCTTCCAAAATGTACCTAAAATCATACCAAAATTTGCCCCCTCTTTGTTTTTAGCATGTTTAGCACCCCCTCCCCACAAACAGTTTAGCCCCCTCAATCTGATATAATACATTGTGTTAATAGCCATTTTCAAGCTCTGTACCACCAAAACATTGTGTTAATGAGAAGTACAAGTTAATTACACTTTTAAATACATTTGTATTGATTAATAAAATTTGATTATGCACTAAGTCAGGTGACAATTACGTACACTAAAAGGCACCTGGCAATTTCAAAACAAATCTAAAATTTCTACCTTAATTTCTTGGCTACTTTTCCTGCTTTGGTCTTTTTGCAGCTAAGGCTCTTAGTCTTTCTTCCTTCTTGATTTCGTACCTTGATTGGCCTTCTTTAAAGCGCTGCTTTTCATCTTCAGTTCTCACGACCAACTGAGGCACTTTTTGCACAGCTTTCTTGTCATCCAAGGACACATAGGTGAATAATGCGTAGACACATCTGAAACATTCTCCTAAAATAGCAATAGAAAGAGTACTGGTGGTGAATCCTTCATCATAATCCAACTGGATTCGGGAAACACTCTAGATCACAATCCGACCCGACTCAAGAAACACTATAGAGTGACCGGTTAAGCCCGGTTCAAAGATTTCAGATCAAAAGCGAAAATAACCAACCTGACAAATAAGCACATTTAAACAAGAAACGAGCCACAACTATCGCTTTATGCCCGAGATTTTGTCATTCTGGGTCACATCAAATTTCTGGGTCATATCGTAAAATTAAGGGATAAATTTAAATTGCTTGGACAAATTGTGCCTGAAAACGCGTTTTCAAAATGGAAGCAGTGTTTCTCAAGATCCTTTTCCTGGTATTCAATTTTTTGTCTTGTTTAGACATAAAGTCAATAAAAAGTGATTTTCTAGAGTGGAGAACAGGGAGGGCACTCCTTGCTTTAAATGCTACCTTGAGACCCTGATGATTGTTTTATCAAAATGCAAGTAGCTACCTGGCATCAGTGAAATCAACTCAGAGGGGAGAGAAAGGGGGAAAGTGGTTTGAAAAGGGATGGAAACACAAGCAAACGAATAATGAAATGTAGGTGATTAAGCCCAGGTTTAACATGAAAACGAATTTGAAAAGTCAAAAGGATTTGGAATGCCTAAATCTCTCAGGTTGACACTTTCAACCTTGGTTACATTTCATAAACAAATCTTTCTGGATATTGTTACAATCTAATCTAAATAGTTTTATCCTGTTATGAATGAAAATAGAGAAGAATAGTACATATTGTAAAGCTGCAAAAGCCAAATATTTTGCACCAAGACCAACAACTGAAAGGAATTTGCATAATTTTCGCAACGAATTCATTAAATTAATGAATGTCAAATAACCCTACTTACCCTTGACAACATCTTCTGCATCAACAAAAACTTCGATTTCCATAGAGCGATTACTGGTGAAAACCATTCGTCCAGTGAAAGTCATCACATGTCCCAGTTTAACGGGCACATGAAAGTCCAAAGACTCTGCAATAGGCAAGAGAGAACTTGGGTCAGCATTAAAATCATTGATACTTTGTACACTTATAAACAGGATACAAGTGTCTGTCCAATCATTCTATTCAGTGAAAGTTTTAAGCACTTTGGTTACAGCTTAAAACATCAGTATAAGAAAAAATACAGTAAATGATTTTGCAAGTTGTTTTTGTTGATGGTGATTCAGTCGATTAACCTTTTGCTTACTTGCTTTCTTAAGACCAGTTTAACCAATTGGTATCTATATTCGATGTTATAAATAGAGCTTTTTCTTGCAATGAAGTATTGGGAAAGCAGGAATTATAATATACTTTTGCTGTTATCCCTGGCCTTGCGCCTATTATCATAATTTCATCCCCAAAAAACTGACTTTCACTATCATTTTTTGCTGACATGTACGTTTGAACATACATGAAACAGCTTCTCTTCCTTTTTCAGTTTTTTTACCCTACAAAGGCCTTCTATAGGTTCAATGCATACTGCTGTGACTCTGTTCAACAGCCCGTGCATTGCCTCTTGTATCAACTAATGAATTTTTGGTGCATGGATTTTCCAAAAATTTCACAGTTAATTTGATCAACTTTGCCATAAAGAGCTGAAATAGAATTTTTAGTTTTTTTGTGGCATTATATTCTTTAACAGTCCCATGAGTTTTCATGTCTAACCTTTATGAATATCTAAGGATAGGGGTGGGGTGGGGGGTGGGAGGTTGAAGTTCTTGTTATGATGTGTTTGTCTTCGTGTACCCTTAAATTTAAAATGATCATGATATCCTTAGCAGTCATTTGCTACCTGTGCAAAAAAGAAACAATCTGCTTTTTGATGGTGTAATCATTTTATACTTAAGTTTTCGTTGATTTATGATACTCTTTCAATTGCAATTCACTTATGCTTATATTGTACTTATTTAATAAAGGTCAAATGAATCAACCTTCATCTAGGTAATGAAAAGAGATTGCAAGCAGGTGCAAAGGCTGCATTGTATGTTGCTTACCTACTGATGCTGTGACAATGTTGGTACGGCAATGTCTGAATGCAACAATCCCTGCAACAGTATCCATATTCTTCATTGTTGGCCCACCTTGACAATACCCAAATTGGTTGCAATCTGAAGGACTTGCCATTGAAATCAATGTTGATTGCGAATACGGGACACTATGAAGAGGAATTTCATCACTACCTTCTACTGTCAAGATGTTCTGGGGTCTTAGATTGTACAGCTGAAAGCAAGAGCAAGAAAATTATTATACTTCAAAAATATATATTACCTTATTGGTATCAAGAAAAAGTTTAGTGTTGTCAACAAGATCTGGCAACTTCTCTGTTCTGTTCTTCACAACAAAGCATGTCAGCAGTGGTGGAGCCACGTGGGGAAAGGGGAGAAATGTTTCAAACAGGGAAAAAGGGGGTGGTCCCTGACACACCTTTTGCCCCCCCCCCCATTTATCCCAGGCTGGAGCTGCCACTGCATATCAGGACCTTTTCAACATACTAACAAGGGTGCAATTGCCCCTCCAGCCCCAGTGACTTTCCGTTGTTTAAAACAGTAGGCTTTTGCCCTCCTCTTAACATAAACAAAGGTTTGGACTGGCAGTTAACTGCCCTTGGCTATGAAACATAAAAATTCTTTGTGTAAATTGCATCGACCACTCAACAGCAGACCTACCACTACACTCTAATACAGTTGAATCCTGATATAACGAACCTCGGATATAACAAACCTCGGATATAACGAACCTCCTGGTATAACAAGCTAAATGTCTGGTTCCTTGGATTCTGCCTAATATAGATGGAGTAAAACCAGCAGAGAAATTGAAGATAGCCTAAACAAGCCCACCCAAGGTTTTTTAGCGTGCACTGCAGAAAGACCTAAAGCGTTTTCCCTCCCAATTTAACGAACACCTGATAAAACCAACTATGTCCTGGTTCCCTTAAGAGTTTGTTATATCAGGATCCCACTGTATACTCCACTTCACTCAACCAAAGCAAACAACTTATATTGATAAAAATACTTACATTGTTTGAGTCTTGTTTTGACTTCTGGTGAGCTCTAGCTTTCTTCTGTTTTTGGTATCGCTTTTCCCCCTCTCTTAGCTGATCCTCAGTTAAATCTTTGATTGGTGGCACATTGCCAAGTCCAGGAGTTGGTGTCAATTTCACTGGCACATACCACAAATAAGCCCTTAAAAAATAAAAATGAATTCAGCAAAAATTTTAACAGCAAACACCATAAGTTTACTTATACTCTAGAAAACCACTTTTTTATCTGTAAATGCTTTGGGCATGTCAATGAAAAAAACGATTATGTTTACCTTTACAGAAAACTTCATAGAACAATATATGATAAAAATATTATAATAATATGATAATAATATGACATAATAATTTCATAATAACATTATAAATAAAGCATTTATTCAGATGTGTGAAGATAAGTTGGCATGAAGATAGCTGCAAAGCTTATCAAAGCCGACCAATAACCCAAACGAATATTAAATTCAACCAAAATATACTCCTATTTACATTTTTCTACAGCATTTATATACAATTAAAATGCAATAAAATGATAAGCTATAGACACCCTAAATTACTTAAGAACCCATTTCGCAATCTCAGTTGAAGTTACTAAAGTGATGCTTTTTCATTTTCCGCTATATACCTGATTCTATTCCATGTGCATTTGTGTGTGGAACTGATACAGAAAAGTTGTCATTTTCAGTCATTAGACAAGTTCTCAGTCTTGACGAAGATTTCTGACGCGACAAAAGTGGCTAGAAATGTAGCAAATACGGAACCTTGCAACGCCCTGAGAACAAACAACGATAAGAACACTTAAATTAATGACTAATATTTCACCCTGGCATATGGGGCTTCATCAGAGCAAGTGATGATTTGATTTAATGTTGTTTAATGTTGTTTGTTTTCAGTGCATTCCAGGGTTCCTTATTTGCTACATTCAAATTTTTCTTTAGCTTTACCCGGTCCATGAATTTGGCAACTTGTGCAAGTGCATGAAGTTTTTGGCCATTTTTTGCAAATATTTTCGATGTGACATTTAAAGTCTAATTCTTTTTTAAATGTTATCCCAAGGAGCTTTCCCTTTTTGGCGTGTTCTACACAAGGTATGGTATGTGAACATTTCCAGAAGTGTCAGGAGGGTCATTCCATATCAAAAGGGGAAACCCATGTAACCCACCCTCTCAGAATTGTCCAATTTTTTGTAGTGTTGTTCACACTAATGAGTTAGGAGCACCCTGCAAATTTCAGCTCAATACCTTCATTTGTTCCAGAATGAGAGCCACTTGAAATTTGCACCAAATTCACTCGAATTTCTCAAATCCGCCATTTTGAATTTTTGCCGCAAGCCTTTTTGGCAAAATTTTATGTCTCTTTTGGAATTTTGCACTGAAAATGTCTCTTCTGGGTAAATCAATACTTAGGAGTTTGAAAATGACACCAGAAACCTGCTAACATCTACAGAAAAGCAATGAAATGTCTGTATCCAAGGGTTGCTTTTGTCCTTAGCAACTATGCTACCCACATTTATGTCACTTTTTGACAATGTTGCCAAAATGTGACAAATCCCAACTTTTGTATATTGAATATATAGTGTCTTAGCTTGACAAGAGCAAAAAATCAGAGATAGTATTTTTTCTTTTTTTGAGATATCTTTGTTTCAAAATGTCAGATTTTAATGAAAAATTTTCAAAATTTGTATGGTCTGATAAAGAGATTATTCAGAACAGAACATTTTCTTAAAAATCCAAATGCAAACTTATGGCTGGAGGTAAGTGGGAATGGTTTCAATATTGCAAAATAACTTGCCACTAATAAATTTTAATAAGTAAAAGTACTTAATAAATGCTTTATTAATTAAAGTGTAATGATGGATTCCGGTCAAATATTCTTCAATTTTTACAATGTCAGCAGTTTCTAAGGAATAATTCCTTCCTGAGTTTGTCAGTGGAAATGGTGCACTCACTGTCATTAAAATATTCACATTTGGAACCCAGTAAACATCATCTCTGTTTGGCCATTCAAAATATTGTGAGGGAAATTGAGGATGCATAAAACGGATTTTGACATCCTTGGTATCCTTGTCTGCTTGACAAACTTTTTTGGCTTGGTGTTGTTTTGAATTTTTTAGCGTAAAAGATCCCCATGAAATACTTTCAAATACGCAAAGTTGGCCAAATATGTCTTAAATCGGTTGAGATATGGCTAATGAAAGATTTGAAGTTTGCTAACGAATCACTGTTATTTTGGCTCTGTTCATAAAGTTATGATCAGAGACCAGAAAACATAGGTTTGATGGGGAGAGAACCAATAAACATGTGGCCATATCTCTGCCCTTTCGTAATACACTCACCCGGTTTTGCAAATTTAGAGGTATTTCATGATGCTCTTTCAGGTTATGGGATCCAAATTAAAAAATTCTAAAAAAAGATTTTTGTGACGTCATCACTTTAGAACTCTATTGTGTTTCAAAGTAAATATCTTTCAGATTGACTTTTGTTTTAGATAATTTCCCCAAAGGTACCATCTGATCTAACCCCACCCACTGTTTGCATACCATAAACCTTTTCGTTGTTTGCATTAGGTAAGTCTTTAATTGGCCCCGGATGAATTTTGCAAAATACTTTTGGGCTTATTCAAGAGAAGGCTTATTATTCAAAGGGGGCTTCTACAAGAGGGTTTATTCAGGTGGTCATACTTACTTTTGTGGTAGATATAAACAAAAGAATAAATACTGACATTACTTGCAGAATTCTGTCTTATCTAAGAAACTAATTGGTTATTGCCAACTCGCGGGGTTGCGGCCTCATCAACAGGTAGAGGCTTGACTGAGGAATTCAGTATATTAAAGATACTAATTGCTTGGTTCCAAATGTGAATATTTTAATGATAGTGAGTGCACCATTTCCATTGCAAAACTCCAGAGGCAAGTATTCCTTAGAAACTGCTGACATTGTAAAAATTGAAGAATATTTGACCGGAATCCATCATTACACTTTAATTAATAAAGCATTTATTAAGTACTTTTACTTATTAAAATTTATTAGTGGCAAGTTATTTTGCAATATTGAAACCATTCCCACTTACCTCCAGCCATAAGTTTGCATTTGGATTTTTAAGAAAATGTTCTGTTCTGAATAATCTCTTTATCAGACCATACAAATTTTGAAAATTTTTCATTAAAATCTGACATTTTGAAACAAAGATATCTCAAAAAAAGAAAAAATACTATCTCTGATTTTTTGCTCTTGTCAAGCTAAGACACTATATATTCAATATACAAAAGTTGGGATTTGTCACATTTTGGCAACATTGTCAAAAAGTGACATAAATGTGGGTAGCATAGTTGCTAAGGACAAAAGCAACCCTTGGATACAGACATTTCATTGCTTTTCTGTAGATGTTAGCAGGTTTCTGGTGTCATTTTCAAACTCCTAAGTATTGATTTACCCAGAAGAGACATTTTCAGTGCAAAATTCCAAAAGAGACATAAAATTTTGCCAAAAAGGCTTGCGGCAAAAATTCAAAATGGCGGATTTGAGAAATTCGAGTGAATTTGGTGCAAATTTCAAGTGGCTCTCATTCTGGAACAAATGAAGGTATTGAGCTGAAATTTGCAGGGTGCTCCTAACTCATTAGTGTGAACAACACTACAAAAAATTGGACAATTCTGAGAGGGTGGGTTACATGGGTTTCCCCTTTTGATATGGAATGACCCAGGAGATTAACCTCCACATAACATAAAATGACATTTTGCATCATTCAGCTTCTTGTGGTCATCAATAAACCACTTGCTCAGTCGACTGGCATATTCCTATTGTTTATATTGAATGTTGTTTAAATTAGAGCCACATGCAAAGATAGTTATATAATCTGCACATATCTCAGTGTCATTCACCAAATAAAAAAAGTCATTTATAAATATATTGAATAAGAAGGGTCCCAAGACTGAGCCTTATGGTACACCTTTTGCAGATTCTTCTAAATTACTGAATGATCCATTTAATTTCACCTCCTTATTTCCTTCAAGCGCTCAAGTGCTTCTACTAAAACCCAATGTGTGGAGTAATTTACGATATTAAATTGCTTAGGAAGATCTGAAAGAAACGCTACTGCATTACCATTTTCATCAATAGAGTCTCTGCATTTTTCAATAAATTTCATAAATGCATGCTGTATCCTTTTGCAAAAACCACAGAGATATATGGACATCATAGGTCCCATAAAAGGAATTTTTTTATTTTGTATGGTTCTTTCATATAATTTGGAGACTTCAGGTAACACAGCAATAGTTCCTTAGTTTTTCTTAATGAAGGGATCTTAAATATTGAATAAAGATGATATTTTACTCATTTTTAGCTCATCAGAAAACACACCAGTTTTGAAACTTTCATTAATTGAAGTTTAAAGCTCAATATTCAACTTTGTATAACTGCAGCATTGAAAGCATTACGTTTTTGATTACATTAACTTTATAGTAACAACAAGGAGAAATATACCTCATTACAGAATTTTGATAAATGCAAATTGGAAAAGCAATTGTACATACTGGTTGGTCAATCTTTTGCCACCATTAGTAAGATTTTCTGCCCAGACATCAACTGTAACTTCTAAAGAGTGATCTGATGCATAACTTAATTCAGCATGGACATTGGCAACTTCTCCAATTAACATTGGCTGTAGGAAGTCTGTCCTTTCAACCCTTACCAGACCAGCAATACAAGAAGAATTCTTTATTCCTGTAATGCAAGGGAATATTTGATACAACTGGGAAATTTGACTGCTATTTTAAGTGCACATTTACAGTAAATCTATATGCTTTTAATGATAGAGAACCATTTTAAATGAATGTGAAGGACTACTGAATGTAAACAACTAGTAATGTTTGTTGTGCTCCTTCTTCTCCAGCACAGTAAAACAAATTGTTAAATCTTTGAGTGTAATTTTTGCTTAGTACTGGAAAGACAGTTGCAAATTGCAGTAAGGAGACAGTGGAACAGAGCCAAAATGAAAAGGAAAACCGTTAGGTTAAGGTCTCTTGGTCTCTTGCTTTTAGAATTCATGCCAAAACTGTGATTGACCTAACATCACTTAAATAAGGTAACTTGTGAAAAAGAGGATACTTTGCACTCAAAATAGGAGAACAGGAAGAATGATCCAAAAACGAGTGATTACAGTTTAAACAGGAGATTTTCAAATAAGGCATTGACATAGCAGCTTCACATATAAGGTCACAATTGTGCTGAATTCTGAAATTTCAAAATGCAGAATTAATTTAAATTTGTCTATTATGAAAGAAACAACTGATAGCATGCCATATGATTGTTTAAAGTGGCAATTCAGAAGTTAGAGAGCCCCAAAAATATTTTTTGATGAACAGGATTTTATAGGAAGAGATTATCTTACCACCAGAAACCAACATAGGCAACTGCTTGTAATATTAGTCCCGAGTGAAGAATTTACCACACCAACTTTTTTTAATGAAGCTTTGGGCGTAGATTAGGAATTTGATTGTTGATCAAGTGTTTGAGGGGGCATTTCCAAGAAACAGGGGGTCAAACCTCAAGATTGGGAGTAATCGGTCTTTCAGGCACTGATTGCTTGTGGTGGCTTTAATGTCAGTTAAAACATAATATTTCTTATAATTAGCTCTATATTAGGGAATTAGGTAATTATAAAACAGGTGCCTAGTTTTGGGGGGCCTATGAGCTTTTAAAATTCAATCTTGTGGGAAGAAAATCCTACAAAATTGCATTTTTCAAACATTCTTCAGGGAAAATGCAACTAGAATGTATTTTAAATGAATCAGCTAGACATAAAGGGTTCCAAAAGCTTTATGCTGTTTTCCAGGAAAGAAAGAAAAAATGAGCTAAAAAATATAATTCTTCATTATTTCTTCATCAATGAAAATGAGTTTATGATGTCATTTGTTATGCAGGTGCATACACTTTGTTATGCAGTGGCATAGCAAAAGAGAGGTCCCCCCTTTCCCCAATGGCAAGAATTCTCTTTGAAAAGGGGCGTTTTCTGGCATTAAAAAGGGTTTGGACCCCCAATATTTCCTTGCACAACTTTTCTCTGCCCCCTGCCCCAAATATTGCCACCCTGGCTATACTAATGGGCATTTGATAAAGTAAACCATTAAGAAATGTTTAGAGTTCTAGAAGCATTAGAGATTGATAAAAAAGATCTACAACTAATAAGGAACTTATATTGGGAACAGAGTGCAGCCATTAGAACTTAAGGAGAGACCAGCAAGTTGACATCATCTCGATAGTTTCGAGGAAAATGTAGGTAGAGGGGGCAAGGGGCCTGGGCCCCCTAATATTACAAAGGGTTCCCAAAAAATGTCTACCAAGCTAGGAAAAAATATTTAAAGTGTGTAAATTACAATGTGCTGATGTTTCAACATGTGCACTTTGATAAAAATGAGCACGTTGTCCCTCAACCCTCTCCCAAATAGAAAGGAGAACCCTTGTTGATTATTGGCATACCCACTTTTTTTATAAGAACACTTGGCTCCAGTTCAATCTGGGTTTTTCTTTTATTTTTTCGCATAAGTCATAAGCCTCTGTCTGGGATGTTGCCAGACTGGAAACTTTTTTTCTTCCGCGGGCAAGTCCACGCGCCTGACTGCACAACTGTGCGCCTGGAAATACGCACTTTTAAGACATTTGTATTGCTATCAATGTGAAATGTATTCAAATAGGGACTTGGCGCGGCCAGAATGCAAAAGTGTGTGGATAAGAAAATTTGAGTGCGCAGGCAATATATTGCGGGCACGCAACAAAGTTTCCAGTCTGGGGATGTTGCACTTGTACCTGCAGTTTTATCTTCAGCCAAAGAACAAGATTTGATAAACAATGTCACTTTGGTAAGGTTGCTATTGTAACCATTGTTCCAATGCTATTTTGTTTATTGCTTTATTTTGTTCTGCTGCTATTCTTCAATTTTTCAATTTTTGCTGGTATTATATTTCTTATGTTTTCTTGAATTTTAGCCTGCTTTGTTTCTAATGTTGTTCTTATTTTTTGAGTAAAATCACACCCCTGATATTCCTTATAAGGGTTGTTCTTATAAAAAACCATGTTCTTTTATTCTATATATTCCTAAAAAAAATTGGAATGCCCCCGCCAACCCCAACCAGCAACCCCCCCCCCCCCGCCCCCATTTAGAAATCTTAACTTCCCCCCATTGTTCTGAGCGAAGGTTGCAGAAGGCACTTAGAAGTAGAGCTTACCTACAATGTGCCCTTCGTGATAAAAAACCTGTTGGCGAATAGGCCTAGTTTTACAAATAGAGCAGATGAGTTACTTTCCTGATATTAAACAAGATACTTGCCTTCATTGCAATGTCTTGTGGCGATTATGACTCCTGCTTCCTCGATCATTTTTAGTATCGTTCCACCATGAACATTTCCCGCGATGTTTGCATCGTCTGGGCTCATAACACGACATACCTCAATGTTTTCCATCGACATGTTGGCTGGCGATCTTTGAAGAGCACACTGTAGAAGCCACTGTTTCCCGCGCTCTCGAGATGGGTTTGCAGCGCTCCGGCTCAAACTGGGAACGGGGTCATATCGGGAAATCGGGGCCTTATCGGAAAATCGTTTATAGTTTAAAAAAATTGGCCGATATCTTAAGAAAAACCTTGAAATAGGGTTCAGCATTCTTCAATCTACCTCTAAGTGGCTTTTATTATTTAACTATTCTATTTTTTTCAGGAAAATCGCAATGTTTTTCTTTTACTTTTGAGGAATTGCTGTGATTGAGGCGGGGCTCCTCCGTAGCTACAGGAGCAAATAGACAAAACTTTGTTAAAAAGCATAAATAAACAAAATAAGCAAGCAAATGGGTAAAATCACCTCATTCCAAGACATAAAACCAGTAAATCTGTTGTTTTTACCTTTTTGCTTGTTCAAAATAAAGCTATATTAGTAGATTCTTGATCATGACCGACAACAACTTAAATTAGGCCCTTGTCGAGAGGACTCCTTCGCAGTTTTGCGAGAGCATATGGGGGTTTATTCGAGTGGTGGGACTGGGAAGGTGGGGGCTTATTCGAGGATTAAGAGTGCAGCAACTAAGATACTATCTATATTATGAAATAAACACACCTTTTACTTGAAAGGACTGGTACTAGATGTCTTCCATTTCTGTTTCATTTAGGTTTGGAAAGTCTGAAAATTTTGTCGATAACTCTTATTTGGGGACCTCTGACCAAATGGGATAGTTGTAAACAGATGCCATCAACTCTAATCGCAACTGGATAAAAGAGCTGTCCGCTTTCCCGGATAACCCAGCAAATGGTCACTTCAAGTTCGCCTATGGTTTGCAGAATTATTGAGCCCAAGTCTACAATATTTCACAGAATAAATTGAGTCCAGTGATGAAATCAAAACAAAATTGTTGACAGTAATCTAGTAGCATTGTATTCAATCTCCTCACCACTTCAAGCAATGTTGTGGAGATCCTGTTGTAATATAAGATCTTTGAACGCGAGAGTCGCAATTATTTTCACCAGATCTCACTAAACAACATTGCTGCTTGGAGGAAAGGGGAGGGTGAAAAAGGGAGGAACGAAGCATATAACCAACCTTGTTTCAGTTATTTTTATTAATGTTATGTTCTTGAAATTTTTATTTATGTTTTTACAATGGTCCAAGTTAGCAAATACATATTTGTCTTGAGTTATTATTCCTCTGTAGAATACAAATAAAATTGAATTGAATTGTAAGCATCATGGCCCTCGTTGTTTTAACCACTTCTGTGAAGCCATTTAGCTCCAACCAAATTCTAATTCATTGTAACTTGACAACAACAGTTACATATAAGTATAAGATTGCATTAAGATATAACAAACAAATTTTAATTTACTCTATACAATATATCGTATTTATACAGCCTTTAGTTAAAACTCAATCAAAAAACACTTCAAACTTTGGCAACATTTCTAATTTATAATTTGAAAAAGGTTACTCTATAAAACTCCAAAAATTTAAGTATTTATTGAACAATCTTCCAGCTTTGAATCTTGAGAAAATCGTAAGATAACTTTTGTAACAGGTTCTGTTAAGATGACATGATAAAATTAGAAAAACGTTGGCAAGGTGGAAGTACAAAAATGAATGACATTGTATTTTGTTGAAAGTGCAAATGACATCGACACAAAAATTAAGGTGCGTAAGTTTTCGAGAGCAAGGGGGCAGTCCCCTTGTTAATGAATACCCCGTGTACTGCACTTGAGTGTTCTGGTTAATTGAGGAAAACTTTGATTTTTTTCATTTAATAAGTAGGTGAAATAAAAAGAGAGAGCCCGAAAAAACAAAATGATATTACCCTATTTACTTGCTTTTACCCTGTTCTCTTGCCATCTGCTTCGTTTTAGGCCCGTTACAATGTCCCGGATTGCTGTCTTCCGCGAAGGAAAGACGTGTTCTTCATGCTTTAGGGAAGGGACAGACAATGACATTTAGAGCTTACACGAAATGGAATGCAAAGAACTTTGGATTGGTTTTCATTTCAGTAATCATTTATCATTTATCAATATTTATTCAATTAGTCAATATTTTAAGTTGATCAGGGGCTCCGATGCAAGTTGGAAAAGGGGGGCCAAATGCAAATTAAAGACCATAGCAAAAGATTTTGCAACAAGGCTGTATTTTTTTGCAAAAAAGTGGGAGGGAGCATTCGCTCGCTTGTCGTATGGGCCCTTTTGATAGTAAGTAAGTAAGTAAAATAGGTCAGTAAGAAACAAAGTAAGTAAGTAAGATACAAAAGTAAGTAAAAAAATGAGTTGAAACCAAATGAATGCTTTAATCGATCCACCTCCAGATGGGAGTGACTTTCGTTCCTGTTTGAAAAGGCAAAGACCATACGATCCAATCCGAAACGAAGACTTATTCACAGCTAACCTAATGAAGAATTTTGTTACTTAGGCCTGAGTTGGATGGTAGAAAAAAAATAGAAAAAATAGAGATAAAAGCATAGGAAAAACAACGGTACGTTCAAAATTGCATTTTAAAGCTTTGTGCAAACTATCGTGAAAATTAGACTTCAGCACTTAGGTATAGTGAAAAAGAGGTTTCCATACCCCTTTCCTTAACGCAACTGGGACACGATAAAGCACCGTAAAACATATGTAAAAAACGTTGGCAGCGACAATGCTACCAAAAGCAATGCTTACTTTATAAAAAACCCAAATCCAAATTGTTTCTAAGCAGCTATGAAATAGTTTTCTCTAAGATAACTTATAAATAACAGGGAATGTCTTAGAAAGGCATACAATTTGTACATTTTCCATCACTACTAGTTACGGCCATGCCAAGACACAATACACTGTGATTATATGCAAACAAAAAGTGACGGCCATTTCAAGACATGTCCGCCTACAACTTCAACATTTTAAAAACATTGTCTCTATCCTTCTCAGTCATGTCCGAGTTAAGTTGTTTGTATTTTGTCAGTGTCTTTCGCAAAAACGCCTCAATTTTCTCGTCATTGTAAACATCATATTTTCCTGCGTAAATATCTTCTTGCAATTTCATTGCCTTGGGGTTATCATTGTGAGCCTCAAGAACTTCTCTTAGAGATTTCGCAATTGCAATAGCTGGAGAACGGCCGACCTAAAAACAACAAAAAATGATCATATAAAAACCGGTGTCAATTCCGCGGGACTTCTTAGGAAGTGAAGGCTTCGGAAAATTAATTTCGTTCCCCTTGTTGTGGAGTAAATTTTCAACCCCTTTCACCTGCTGCTCCATCAGGCTGTGTCATAGCCACTCAAAATTTTAAAACCAAACCCAGCTTAAAAAGCCCCTGCAAACGGCTTTTATAATATCTTAGACTTTTCGAGAGAGAAGAAGGCTGTGACAGAAAAGTACCTGTTGGGGATACGAGCTGAAACGGCCATTGTCTTTCCTTTTGTTTGTCGCTCAAAGTTTAAATCCAATCAGCGAAAAGTGTATTAATAGAGCATGCGCAGTTGCTTCCATTTTGCCGTGAAATACTGGTTTAATATCTCGCCCTCGCAGCTTCTCTCGCTTGGATGAAACTGTAGCCTGCGTGCAGACTTTACTATCCGTTGCGAAGGACAGCCAATACGGAACTTGTAATTTGGAGGTGAGTTATGATGAATGCTCCTCAAATGGACTGGGTCCGACTACCCCAGTCTAAAAATAGCACTCAGGGCAAATTTGAGTTGGGGTCCTTCCCTTATCGTTTTCAGCGCATCAAACTGGGTAGGTGTGCGAAATTTCATACTGGTATCATGATTTGCATGATCAATGTTATAAGAGCCCCCACTAACAAGTACGCACTCTTGTCAAACATCTTTCCTTCAAAAACCAGGAAAAGTCAAATATTTATAGTTTTCACTGGCGATCACGTGGTGGACGTCATGGTAACGCAATCACGTGTGTACTCATGGCAGATCGTAATATTTTCAGCGATCCCACAGACCAGCACACAGTATGAATATTACAACGAGTAGCAAAAGCAAAGTTAGATATACATCTCAGACCTACAAATAATTAATTCCTCAATGATAATGATCCACACACGACTGAACAAAAAGACTCGAATGACATTTTGCTCAGTAATTTCCTCACCGCGTGCGGCGGGCCTAAGAAACTTGCAGATATTTCCCTCCTTCAATTGTACACTGATATGATAGCAAATTTCTGGCGCTTCCCAAGAAAACACCATGGCTGTACATTTTTCCAAATAGCAAGAAGTTTTGCCATTAATGGAAGCAATGATAAAATTTGTTATCTGATATGTTATTCACAAAGAAATGCAACAAAACGTTATCTTCTTACCTTGAGTGCAAATGTGTACCTCGCTCCAAGGAAATCCGGGCTTGGGGGCCTTGCAGAATGTTCAATTATATTGCGGAAGACAACAAAGCGACCATATTTTGGGACAACAGCACCTAATAAGTAAACAGAACAGTTTGAAGCATTTGCAAGAGTTTCACGACAGCGAAACAAGTTAGAAAAAGGTTTTTTTATGATGAATGGAAGATAAAAGCTTGGTGTCTGATTTGTGTCAATTAAAGACTTCGATTGAATCTTCTTACTTAAAACGGTAATAATCCTTAATTTTTAGTCAATAACATTTACAAAGTAAATACAATAATTGGAAGTCTGATAGCGTTGTCATTCTTCTACCAACAAATGTACTCTCATTTCGCTGCAATTCCTTTAAAATTAGATGAGCAATTTCACTAAACTTCCCTGCATCATCAGCAGTGCTTCATCTGCAGAAGATGTAATTTTATGAAAAGTCTCAAACAGCAAGATGAATTACTGCCAACGTTGGATAAATCGAATTTGCGGAATGAATCGACCTACCAAGCGTCTCGTACTTCTCGTTTCCTGTCTTTAATTTTTCCTTCTCTTTAACTCTCTCCACGAAGATAGTTTCACCGTACCGCTCATCGCTCCACTCTGGGCTCAAGTACATCAGAAAAGTGTATTCGTGCTGAAATTATGAGACACTTATACATAAATGGCAGTTTGGGATGAAGAAAACTAGCATTAGAATAAATTGGCAAGTTTATAGGTTATGAAATGTCCGCATACGTGTGGACGTGCGGACGGGAAGGCTAGCCCTCATATACTCCCTGACAGAAAAAGCCTATAAAAGAATTTAAAAAGTCTTCTGCTAATCTGTTCCGTCAAATTCACCTTATAAGCTCATGAAGCTCCCAAAAGGTCAAAAAAGAAGCAAAATTTAAATTGGACAAAATTGAACCCTAGGAATTTTACGTCTTTTTCACCTGATGCTAAATAACAAGACCTAAAATTGTTCATTTGTCCACAGCTAGCGTTTTGGTCACCTGTTGTAGAAGTTCAAACCAGAATTTGAAGGTGAAAATATGATCAAGATACTAAGAAAAAGCTAAGCGACGAACCCACAGCAAGAAGCTGATAAACGCAATCGACAGAAACAAACGTGGCTTCAGCTAGCTCTCAATCAATAATTTGCCAATCAGTGAGCGTGATACTATTCACACGAATGTTGATTGGCTAATATAGATTGAAAACTGGCTTAAGCTACGTCGGTATATGTCGATTGATTTTAAGGCTGCATTTAATCTAACCAAATAATTGCAAGAACACTGGCAGTTGATTATCTTGCTACTAAATCATCACAACTCCGTAGCTGTCTTCGCATTCATTGTTGAATAGTTACCTCGTGTTGGGCACAGTCTTCATGAATACGAGTATGGTGGGTGTGCTGTATAATGTTCATGGCCACGTCATAGGGATACCATTGATTTTCACCACTTAGAAACGACACACAGTGGTGAACGTATTTCCAAACTCGACTGCTGATAATTGACAGTGGCTGCAACGACAAAAACTGCGTCATTACAGCAAAGGCTTTACTAGAAAGTTTACTGTTAGATGCTAACAAACTACTGTTCTTCTAAGGCCACACCAATTATAGCACCAAAAAAAATTCCCTAAACAGGAGTTAAAATATACAACGGAAGACTTGATTTTATTTTTCAACTATATGTCCTCATTCTTTGCACATAAAAACAAAATAGCGTAGCAAAATGAAACAGGCTTTACAACTAATATGAACTTTTGATACAATTTTTCTTAAAAGCTATGTTTAAGTTAAGTAGATTTTAACATTTTATTTCTTTTTTAAGCAGAACAGACAGAGACGGACTCACCAGGGGTGTGGGGGGTGTTAGGGGACTGCACCCCTCCAATATTGTTGTGTCATTTGGATAACTGTGCTTTGATTTGGTAAATAATCACAGGATGCCTAAATTTATTAATCTTTGTCAATTTTCTGATCTTATTTATCTGGTGCTAGGCACTAGGCTCTGGTGGGGGGAGGGGAGCAGGGAAAAAACAAAAGAGTCAACGCTATTGACTAAAATTTGATCACGTAAAAGCAGTTTCAAAATCATAGGATTACATCACAAAAAGTATGTTGCCAACATATTACCCCTTCCACAAAATTTGTTCATCAAATTTAGACGAAATACAAATTGTTCCCGCTGAGAACTGAGAGGGTACCCCCTGTGGTGCAATTATGGATCTGTTTCTAAGCACCTGGAGGGAGCATCACGAAAAAAAAATAATTATCTCGCAGACTTCGCCCTCCTTAATACTGCATTTAAAATCGCTCCCTGAAAACAGGCATTACAATCAGCAAAACACGAAAATAACTGTTTTGGCTTACATTTAATAGAAAGGGAGTTAAAAGCTTTAACTTGATGCTGTATTTAGCTAAACTTTTTTAGAGTAATAGATAAATCATTCAATATTATTTTTAATCACACCTTTGTTCTGAACAGGGTCAATTTACAAACAAGAACTATGCTTTTCTACTTACATCCTTTTTAACAATCCAGTTGACATTATCATTGTCCTCATCATATTTATTGTCATAGCTATCATACAAATAGGCAGTATTTGAGCTCAGAAAGTAGTCCCTGATTGTGTCAACTTCATCTTTAGATATAACATTGTCAAAAACTGCAACAATTCTTCCAGTGGAGTCTGTGAAGTTACCTGTCAGGTGCTTTGACAAGTCAATTTTATAAATGTCTTCGTGGCTTGCATTTAGATATGGGAATGGCTGACTCCTCATCTCCATTTGTTTGCTTTCAAAGACCTGGTAGAGATTAAACCATCCTCACTATTTGGGTATCAATCTAATTTGATAAAAAAGTGGCATTTGATAGCATTTAATGTTAGAGGTTTTACCAAGGGTTGGTGGGTTGTGCAAGAAACAAGCAGTAAATGGAACTGGTGGTAACAGTGTTGGTAACAGGGATGACAGCATGGTATTTTAGTTGGGGTTGGTTAATCAGGTCCACTGACCTGATATCAGGAGTCGGTGACAATGCTCTTCTGGTGTTGATGGTGATGCCAAGAGTACAGGTGCTGAGAGATGTTTCCTGATATGTTAATAGTAGGTCCCAAAGCAAGAATAGTAGTAGTAATATAAATCTTTACCAATAAGCACATACCTTTAGTTGTGGCTCAGAATTTCAGGTGTAAAATATTGTTTGGAAAAAAGGGTGAATTTTGTTTGCAAGGTGGTCATGGTGAATTTTGATAACTGAAAACTGAATGCATCAAATGTTGATTGAGAATTTCGACTTTTAAAAGCCCTTTTTGATTTGTCATCTTTTAAATCAATAAGATATGCTGCATTTTGATGTTGATCAAAATTCTGTTCTGCACTGAACAACTGCCAAAGATAGATGGGCCTCCCTTTAAAAAAACCCCAGAAGGGCTCAAGTCTTCAAGCCCCCATGTAGTTAGTGCCTATGGTATGATGCCATCATTAAGGTTTTCTGTTGACAACAAAATCAGGAGTTGGACAAATATCGTTTCAATTTTTGCTGATATGGCATATTCATTGCATTTGATTTGTAATAAAACAGGGAAAAAATAAAGAACTAACTTTAAATTTCTCCATGCTTTTTGTGAATTTTGTTTCATTTCTTGTCGTCTTTATCAACAAACTGTACTCTGCTTGCTCAACATTCATTGAAGGAGGTTTGAAAACAAAATCTGTGTTGTCATTCCAAAGCACAACTCTTCCATACTTTGGGAAAATGGAGGCAATGACCTCTTCTTTCTTGTTGTAGATCATCAACTCACTATAATCGTTCTTCTTTTGAGCTTTGCTCAAGAATATCCTGATGAAAATATCTCCTTCTCCTTTACCTACAATAAAGTCCAAAACACAAATTACATTCTTAATTCTTCTGAAACTTTGCACTTTGATATACAAATTCAGTTGCAAATTTGAATTATCTGCTTGCAGTAGAGTAACCAGTAGAGGGAAAATACCTGGATGTTTTACCATTAGGGGTGCATCCATCCCTTTTGCCACCCCCTATTGCCCCCCTTACGCAGCTTGGCAGCTCTTAGAAGGAAGCATACATCTTAAACATGGAGGATCTTGCTACTAAATGGTGAGAAATCAGCATCATCAACATAATTTATAAAGTTTACAACACTTTTGGGTCAAAACAAAAAAGCAAATACTATGGATCATTTTTTTGAATCAAAATTTGCAAATAAAGAAAACAATTTATCTTCGAATCTGTTTACACCTTAATGTTTATAAAATTTCAACAAGACTATACACAATTTGTGATAAGGTTCAGAACTGGTGCTCTTATTTCATGAACCCCAGAAGATTTGGAGATCCCTTTTGATCTCGTCTGTTATCGTTTCATTAACTAAGAATTTAGTGGGAAATCGAACAGTTCTTTAAAATTATCCTAAACAAAAGTCTGGTGTTCTAAGACTGAACAGAAATAATTGATCGTTCTTGAGCAAGATAAAGAACACACTGATAATGTGTTTCGGTACCTTGATAAACTGCAGGGCTGAATCCACGTAATAACATAGTGGCTTTCACATCATATGGGAAAAACTCTTCTGTATTTAACATCCCAGTTCCTTTTAATCTCTCTTTAAGGCTCTTCCATATTAGCGAGTTGGAAAAACGTTCTGGAGAAATGGGGGCGTTCCAATGCAAATCACCGTCGTTTTCTTCTTGATCCCTTTTCATTCGGTAAGGATCTGGATATGTGAAATACCAAGTTGCATACTTTTTTACCAAATTTGCTGAAACAGCCAGTAATCGCTTGCCAAACACAGCATCATAAACATGAACAGAAGAGTTACCATCCTCGAAGGTTTTGCTAAGTTTCAGAGGTTGGCGCTTCCCTTTGCTGCTTTCTTCTGCAGTATTGCAAATTAAAAACAACGAAAACAGGCCTAGGGCAACTTTTAAATCTAGTTCCATTACTTGCCAACAGAATTGAAGATTATTTAAATTATTCAAGTTCACCTTCTCGTTGAAGTGAACAGCACATAGAGGTAAATGCGGTTGCGGAGCAGAGGAAGTTTTACACTGAAGTTTTATAGAAATAGGAAGACCTTCTGCATAAATTGAGAATGAGGCTTATCAATAATGGTACATATAGGTAAGATAGGTAGCCAAGTGTGCCATAGTAACCGTAAACAATAAAGTAAATTTCAAGTTTTTCAAGTGTTTTTCTAAACATGTGTGAACCGGCGGCCTTTCGGTATATAAACAGCGCCAAATGTTGAATCATCGATGAGAAAAAAAATAAAAAAAATAAATGGGAGGGTCACCAATAACGAAAGCAAATTCAACTAAGTGTAACTTCAAATAATCCTTTCTTCACTTTTCAAAATTCTGTCACAGATATAACTACATATTAACATAATTCTAGCAGTTTTTAAGTATGTAGATTCTAGTCTGATGAAAGTCCCTTTAGAACTGGAGGTGAATTGTTTTTGGTAAAATGACAGGGGTAAGGGATGCCGTCCTTAAAAATTAAAAGGGGCCTATGCAGTAGGCAACTTGCAGATAGAAGCCACCCCCATAACACATGATACGCCGTTTGCTTCATAGAGGTTTTTATGGTTTACATACGGTTACCTGGCCCAGCCCCTTTAAAGATGGTCTGTTCCTACATCAAATCATTCACTGACTCAAAAGGAATGATAGGAAATCGTTCAATAACGGGAAATCTACATATAGCATCATGAAGATTTGCATGCACGGAATTCTTTTATCGGAGCTTCAGCTTTTATAAGGCTATAAGCAGTGGGCATCAATTGGACGTGAACTTCTCACCGATCTTCAACACAAAGAGCCTGAGCGCAAAAGAAATGTTACCAGTTACTATTGTACAGCGATGTAATTTCATGAGAAAAAAGGGCAAAATTTTCTTTATATCGAATTAAACATTTTTTCCGTCAGTCACACAAGCCTCAATGCCGACATGTAAAGATCTGAACATTAATTTTTAATGGCGAGTTCATATTTTTTTAACTACATAGGTATGTGGGGGGAAAGTATTGCACAGGCTGAAACAGCAATGGCGGAACCGCAGCAAAAATTTTAGCGAACCAAAAGTCAAATGGCCAGCCATAGCAGGTTTCATAAAAGCTATAAAATGACTTCTAGTTAGAATATATTGGAATATCAAAAGCACCGAAATTGAATCATAATTATTGAAATACCTGTGAAAAATTTGCAATATAAAATTTCATCTTTGCACCAATATGCCATATCTTATTACAATGAACTCAGGGATATTTACCTACATCCAGGGACGTAAATTGGCAGATATTTTGGGGGAGGAGGGGGGTGAAGGGTTCAAAATTTCCGACTGACAAAGGTCAATTATAATTTTGTATGAGGGCCTGATCTTTAATAGTTTTTTGCCAACATAAATTATCTCACGAATAATTATTCAGCTGTATGATAAAGTTATTGTATGATAAGTATTATTCAGCTCTATTAGCCCCTATGAATGAATCTTTGGCAGAAAGTTCATTTTCCCTTCGAAGTAGAATGAATGCATATCCAAGAAAAATGATAATTGAGAAAAGATATAACAGCTAACGTTTCATTTTATCAAAAAGATTTTGCCTCATGAAACTTAAGAAGACAACAGTTTTGTCATAAAGTCTAGAAAAGACTTTATTTGTTACGTTCCTAATATAATACTTTTCAGTTCTATATTTTACTTTTTTTATATTTAAACTAGATAACCTTGATTTTACTTACTTTATTCAAGAAAATTTGTGAATCCTAGTGTGTAGCTCTCAGAATAAAGGGTGTGGTTAGAGTGCCCTAAAATCTCCGGTCCCCCTTCTTTCCAAATGCTTCCTACGCCCCTGGTTGTCGTGGTAACGATCGTGATTATCGTCTCGCTGAAAACAAACCAGTTTTGTTTCGATTTTCGACAGCGAAAAAAGAATTTTAAACCTTGCGTAACGTAACGTACCTATTGATTGAGAAGTCGGCCAGTTGATAATCTTTCTGGAACTTGTCTTTTTGCTGAAGCTTGTTCCATCGCTCCTTCGACAGGCCCAGTTTAAAATAACTGTCGGACCATTTCTTTCTTCTCATGTAAACAAATTGCGCTTGCTGGGCGAATTCTGTATTTGTCCTCTCTCATGACCAGCAACGCTCTGAACATTGACTGGCTTGTAGTTGCTGGATTTTCCATCGACAATGTGAACAGCCATTTTTCCCAAGCAGGGAAACAGTTTCACCATAATTTTATCATTGACCCAGAGCTTTGACAATTCTTTTCGGATACCACCACATGATAAATCGATTATTTAATGATGACCATCGAACCGTGAAGCTACTGGGTTATCAAAAATTCAATCATGCTAGCTGCTCTCTCTTCCTTTTCGCAACATGTATGGGAAAAACATGTTGATGGATTTTTCGACAGCAGTTTGGCCCCCACTTTATATGACCAAAGTCTTGTTGCGATTTTCAGGGGTTGAAATTTTGCATTCATAGCGGTTACGATACTTTTTAGACCCACGAAGGCCGATTTCCAGTTGACATTTTTTGTATGCGCGGGCGTAGCGCCCTAATCTGAGCGTGCGTAGTTAAAATCGAGACCACTTGACATGCTTTTTCATAGTAGATTCGGAATTATTTACCGCTGGTGGTCTGCATGAATTAAGAATTCTCTCAGTCATCGAGACACCTCAAAAATAAATTCACATGCCCTCATCTTGAGTTCCTCTAGTTGTGCACTACTGAAGTTGAATTTCTTTGATGTTGCAAAAACAGATGTAAAATTCGCAGTTGTTGCCTTTTCACCATCAAGTGCTCTGGCTTTTCTTGTTATTAGCTCAGCATCATCAGCCTTATTTGTGCGTGATCTCAGAAAATTTCAACATGGTACTCATGAAAAGCATCCAGATTAGATGTGATGGCACCAAAGAAAGAGTGATTATTTGCTTTCCAAAATAAGGCATTACTCAGTCATACTAAAGGAGCTTTAACGTAAAGTCTTTTAAACAATATAACATCAACCAGCACTTAGCGTTGCATCAATATACTCCTCTGTGTGTCCAGTTTTGAAGATGACAGAATAAATAGAAAAACAAGTGGCAGATAGTTATCAAGAATGTTTAGAAGATTCAAGTATTGTGTATCTTTAGAATTAGAAAATGCAATGATGACATGATTTCTGATTTTTGTCCAACTACCAAAGAGCAATTTTTCGACCATAGAGATCCTGCAAGGTTTGGGTTTTCTGGCAAGCACTTTCCGTTGACCAAAGATAAAAGATTATGTAATATTCAATATTCAGGCAACATAGACACCCTCTCGCATTAAGCTGGATATGTAAAGGGCCAATCATGGGAATTATATTTTTCTGAAAGAGTGGAACATCTGGAAGAAGATTATATTGTATTTGTCTCATATAAAATTGAGCAGGCCAGTCACCAGGTTGTGGGCAAACAAAAGAATAAAGGTATTTGTCAAGGCCAAGATTAACTGCATGAGATCAGGATTTTAAAAAATCATTAAAGCTTCTGAAAGGATGTTCAATTTCACCTACTAGACAGCAGTTTTCCATTCTTTTTAGTGAATTTGCATCTACTTGGTCTTCCAGATTATCGTGTGCTTCTAGTCGATGCCTTTCAATTTCATTCTTTCAATTGAAGAATGAAAACTTGACCCAATGTGGCATCGCAGTGGCAAATGACGAGAAAATATGTGGCATCTTTTCTGCTGATGCTTATACCATCTTTGTCAATATGGCTTTCTTCATTCAAAGCAATAACAGGAATCATTTGAAACTTCTTGAGCAGTATTGTTGAAATTTTTGTAGCTGAAGATGTTTTCTGGTCTTTTGGTCGCTGCTTGGTGTGAATTTTGATGATAAGAATCGAAGAAATTTTCTGTAATGGCATCATCAATGAAGGACTGTACCCTATCTTCATATCTGTGAATGGAGTATTTCTGGCATCACCAATGAAGGTCTGCAGTTTTTCTCAAGTGTCTACGTTGTGTTGATTTTGAAACAGCGATTCCAGTGATATTCAAAGCTGACAAACCAGACTCGCTAAAACCCTTGCTAACTATGTTTTGTGCAACGATCTCCTGACACCAGTTGGCTTTTTGAGATTGACCAACAGAGTCTTTTCTTAATTGGAGGTTTCTCGATGATGACTTTACTTGAGAAGACATTGCAGTCACTATTGTGTCAAAGAGTTTAGAAGCACCTGCAGAAGTACATAACTCTATAATAGTATCTGGATCAAATGGAGATCATTCCTACCATATAAGGTCCATAGTTTTTCTCTGCATAGTGCTACCTCTTTTTGCAAATCAGCATTTTTTGAGATGGACTCTTGAATCTTTAGTAGCAGGGATTTTAGTAGGTAGATAAACTTATCTGTCACTCCAACTGTGCCAAAGCCCTCAAGGAACTGAACCTCGGGGCTAGAGGAAGGGACACACTTTGAGAGGGGTTTTGGAACAAAGGCAAAAGCTTTCCCGTTGATCTCAACCTCTTCGATTGACTGTCTCTCATTTTCATAAATATCCTGCCTAAGATGAATCTGCACTGCTTTCTTTGGTTGAAGACTCGCTTGAGCCAAAGTCATCTAGGGCTTCCTACAACTGTAGAGAAAATATAATTAGATTTTGTTTAAGTTTTTCAAAGTTAATGTTGAGCCATTCTATTGACCTACATGTCTTTTAGAATTTCACTTTAGTCTTAATTATTATCATTATTATCATTATCATTATTATTATTCATTTGTTTGCTATCCCTTTTTGGAAGATATCAATATGAAGTTTTTTCTCTCAGTTTTGGTAATGCATAACGTAAGTTACACTTAGTTGCATAGATAATATGAATATATAAATAGTCATTCTGAAAAAGTAGCAATCGCTCAGCAAATACCCAGAAAGAAGATATTAAAAAAGGATAACTTCAGCTACCACTCACTGTATTTTCCTCTAAAACTGTATTTTGATTACTTTCTCAAATATAACAGTAGCAAATCTACCGACGGATATATAGATACAGAAAATTCACCAATCCAAAGATGGCTGAATACCGACCAAAAAAGGATTTGTGGACCAAATAAAGATTTACTAATAAACTCATTAATATCCACATTTTTCGAAAATGGTCTGATTGTCACCCAATACTTTTAGTAAATGCTTATAAGTTTTGTAAGATAAAAGCGAGTTAGCGACAAATTTTGTAACTAAATTACCTTTTCATAACCCGGTAGACTTTGGTAGTTGGCAGGTAACTTTGATGTAAACACTTGTTTGTTCCAACATTTGTGAAGGCAGTCAGTGCAAAAGTGCAAAATCCCTGCATCAATTTTGTAACCGCAACTGTGTAAACACAAAATTGGATGTCAAAATAGCTGTGTCGACAAAATGAAACTTCCTTTTGAAAAGATGGACGTGTTCAACTTTCGTCAAACTTTTTCTTATTGCAATCTTTAATCCTCTTTCGAACCTATTGTCTTTAATAACGTGCACTGCACTTCAGGGGCTTCACTTTACCAGCCAGGATATTTTTGATCACGCTGCTTTCTGAAATTCTTATAAATGGCTGCAACGAGTCAAAGAATTAAGAAAGATGAAGAGTTTATAAATTTGTGGAGAGAGGGAAGCTGTCTTTGGGACACAAGATCTGTATCGCAATAGAGATGCAAGACAAGCAAAATTAACGAGCTTGAAATTAACTAATTAGTGTTGATTGATAAAATTCAACGAGTTGCAAATACTCATCAAGATTTTCGCAAAACATTCTCAAGAACCTTTGATATTCGTCGCCTTCTTCCAGACTAAATTTTTGAAAAAGTGTGTTATCAACTCCTAGCACATTTTTCGGGTCAAACAGGGCTTAACTCAGACGGACCTTTACTACCTATTAAATTTTTGCGCATATATTTTCGCTTCTTATAAACAATTGCAATAATAGCGGAAGAAGCAGCATTTTCCTCATCGGAGTCCATGATGAAATGAGGGGACGCTTTAAAAAGTGATCCAATTAATTGGATGAGTGTAAACAGAGACATTCATTAAACGAACCGTTATTTAATCGAATCAATTTAAATTAATAGTGTATTTCTGCCTTAAATCGACATGGGTGTTTGCAGGGTATCTAGGAGATGATAAACATTAAATTTATGTAATTATGGCATACATTTATAATCTATAATTTTTTGTGATTCTTTGTAACTCATTCAATTTAGCACTTTCTTAGCCGATTATGGCTTTGAAATGCGCAAAAAGATAAAGAAATAGTGCTTCCAGAATAAATTTGCAATAAGATGTAAGAAATAATACCCTAATTTTATTTTCTGAGGATCCTTATAAGCAGACAACTTTGAAGTCTGCAAATGATGTTATTTTTGAGGAGACTCCCACTGCGCCAATTCCGTTCGCAGACAAGCAAGATTTGACGCCTATTCTGTGCCACTCCAGATAAAGAAAAAAAGCTAGGCACAATATAGTATTTTCAATGTTATGAATGCAGCGAGAATGCGTAAGAATACATTGATATATTAATTATATACAATTTTAATATTAAAAGAGTAGTTAAGCACTGACGCCCTGAAATAACTATTTTCAGAATTCAAAAATTTTGACCATTTAATCGGCAAGAAAACCATAATACAAAATATGTTCAGAATTTTACAAAGAGGAAGAGACGTGGCCAGCTAAATCTGTCAAATATTTAAAGTTACCAAATAGCTGCGATTTGATTGAGAAGGGGCGTTCATCTCTTAAGCAGCTATTCTATCTATTTTAAATGGTGATTTGGTATTGTAGCCAACTAGCAACTAGGGAGGTGCCAAGGAGAGAGTTGTAAAATCAGGAGGAAGAGATCCTCTCTTGTCAAACGATAGATCAATGTGTCGATAGCGTTTAGGATAATAGACACAGATTCATGAATTAAGAGACTTAGAGACACCTATAAACTAAGGCTTCCCTGTCTGTTGCCCTACCCCCAAAGATCCTTCTGGATTCAGCTTTGCAAGTCTCGTTTCGAGGATTCTGTTTCATCTATTCGAGGCAGCGTTTCAGTTAATGGCTTATTGGCGTTTTCTATTTCGTTTAATACGTCATCGACGCGCGACTTATGCCGCGAAATGTTTTCGTTCTTCGGTTTTGCAGGGGTAATGTTTTTACTTAAACTGTCATTAACGGACCATTCTTCTTGTTTCTCCATTTCATCTTGTCTCCCTGTTTCATCTTGCTTTTCCATTTC